GTAACCATTTCCCCTTCTTAAGGGCCCTTGAAGGTGCCCAGGGAAAGGCAGATATTACAGGGGTCTGCATATACAGTCTATAAAGAACACAGTGGTATGATGAGGTACAGAGCGCATCAGCTGAAAAGCAGGATGCCTGGATTCTACTCCGGTGCTGCGGCCAACACACTGGGTAGCTGTGATTGTGGGGAGAGTCTCCCGGGCCCTCAGTGTTTTCCTCTGTCAGCTGTGGCTGGGTGGTTGGGTTACACAATCTCCTGGGTCCTTTCCAAAGGTACTCTACTCAAAGGAAACTCACGCACACACTGAGGCTGCCTAGAACAAAGGCAGGATGGGGCATGGTTGGTCGTGCCTTGTAGAGAAAAGATTCTGAACACAAATCCACACGCCAGCAGGGGTCTGAGAGGGCTGGAGAGGAAAGAGGGAGTCACGGACTTGCTACTGTTAGCACCATTCCTGGGCAGTGACGTAGCAGGGGCGCCTTAATCTAAGCCTTTACAGCTGGGATTCTCCTTCTGTGACACAATGGCTCTCATGCAGAACCCGCGTGATGGTAAACACTAAACATCTGTTAATACTGAGAGATACAGTGTTTCATCACAGAATACAAAGTTTTGCCCATCAGAAACTGATTCTTTCTAAAATTGAGAATTACTACCTTCTTAAGATGGAGTAAAACCAACATGATGATTTGGGTATAACTCCTGGATAACAGATATCAGACTGACTAATGATGACACAATGGCTGGTATTGTATTAGTATTAGCTGATCAACTTAAACTCCCAATAAATAGCTAAATCCTATCTGTATTTCGGAAAGCATAGTTCTTTTCCTATTAGAGAGACATAAGAACATTAGAAGAGATAAAGTCATCATTTAGTCCATATTTCCCTAGACATTCCCCATTTCATGAATTCTTCTGTTCAACGATTTATCAAATGCATACAAAAATGAGATTTAGTTCTTTCTTTAAAAGTTATTCTATATAATGGAATTTGAAAATTAGATAGTTTCTATTTGAACACATGATCCTTTCTTTTTCTTGGTTAAGTAAATATGGTTACCATACGTGAAGACCTGGACAGAGGTATCTACCTTCAACATTCAACGATCATCCTTGCAGTACAGACTGTCCTTGCAGAATGCTAGTAATGTCACAAATTTAGCTGCAGCTGGGGGCGGAATTGCAGGGGAAAGTATTATATAATTACACTATAATTATTCTGGCATTGTATAATGAAGAGCCTCATTTTCTCAGTCTGCAGTAAGTGACAGAGTTGCCTGCCTGCTTCTGAGGTGCAGGTAGATGCTTTAGAGATCCTTGAATGCCCTAAGGAGCTGGGGAAAGTCATGAAGTCACCATCCTCCATCAGCTGGGCCCAGATCTGGTATACCCAGGGAGAGTCAAGCCAAAAAGCAACAGAAGAAACCAACCACTTAGTCCTTCTCTGGCCTTCTCCTACAGAGAAGTCTTGCCTTCCTTGCCCCCCAAACCCACCCCGCAGAGGCTGCTCTCCTGCTGGTTGCTCCTGACTGGGAAGAGCCAAGCTTAAGCTGACACAGAATGTAAGGGGATCAAACCCACCTGGGAAAACCCACCTTCCTGACTGCCTGAGTCAAGTCCATTCACCAACACTGATTTGTATAAAGAACTTGAGCCTTTTCATTATGACTCTACAAATGGGTCCAACTCCTACAGTCAGCTCCAGTTAGGGAATGGTGAGAAGTTATGCGACTTACATAGTGCTAGGTACTTAGAAATCCACCAAGTTCTGAATCTGATGAGACCTTGAAAAGTTTTCAGTGTCCTGGCTCTAAGGAGATTTCATCAGAATAATCTCAAACTCTCTTTAAGCCCTTATGCTGGCTGGGCATATTTAGTTCCAATTGCCAGAACTGCCTTTGCCTGCTCATTGTGGACAAGGCACCTTCTGACATCTTACATGTGCCATCACATTTAATGTTGACTAAGAAAACTCAAACAATTATTTAAAATAAAAAGAGGGAATTACCTATCAAAGCAACAAGATATCTGTTCATTTTTGTTGTAGATAATACACAGTAAAAGATTTTAACCACAATGAAATTCCTTTTTTCCAATTCTATTCATTGTGAAAATATCTTTAAAAAGTACAGTCTTTTTACTCTCAATTAAAAATAGCAGAGACCTCCAGGAATAAAAACAATTAACGTACGATATTGAAAATCATAATTTTCTGAAGGCAATGTGGTTTTCCTGAAAAATTCTATGAAGTTCTATGACACTAATAAATAAGTGGATACATAGAAACCGAGGTATTTAACTTATTTACACATTCAAAAATCTTTGGCAATATTCTGGCAAAAACTTTGGCAAATCTTTGGCAAAAACTGGTAAAATACCTGAATTTCCACTGTTTGAGATTCTTTTAAAATGCTTTCCCACCTAAAAGAGTGTTTATCTCCACACTTTATTTCTTAAAGCTCTCTATCCACCAAAAAGCAACTTCCCTGAGCAGGGTGAACCCCAGAAGAACTTGCCTCTTTGGGTTTATGCCAATCCATTTTGTTTCCAAGGGACAGAGGATGACAGAGAAAAATTAAGTTTAAGAAGGGTTTGGTTCCCTTTGAATGAAAATTAAGTAATCAAGAAGTAGAATCATTACAATAAGATGCTACCTTATCTTTTGCTGAGCCTGAAACCATCCTGACCTTACAGATGGCCAGAGAGAAAAGCCAGGACAGGAACTTCCTGGCACCCTACATCCTGGAGCCATTGTGCACTGGCCTCCCAGGGGCCACAGGTTGGGTAGAGCTTCCTCTATCCCCTGCTCTCTACTTGAGGTGGGCGGGTTGAAAACAATCAGGATCCTGCTAGAGCGGAGCCTGAGCAAAACTGGGCGTGAGCTAAGACCCTGATGTTCCAAGATGTCCCAGAAGCAAGACATCCTACCACCCAGAATTCTGGCCACTGAGACAGTCCCATCCCAGAAGCAAGCACCAGAGAGAAGCCTTCTCTTAAAGCACTACTACCTGTTTAGAGACAAAATCAATTTCTTGAAGATACTTCATGCATTGAGGCCACAAACAGGGCTCAGACAATTGCTATTGTGGTTACGAGGCAATTTATTATGGTTAGCATAATAAATATATCCACTGGTTTGCCCCTATCCATAACAATCCAAGGAGGAATTTATAAATGTTGAAAGTAATAAGTAGAAAGTCATTCTCAAAGGCTATTCTTAATCTTGATCTAATTGTACAAAAACTAAACAGTACTTTTGCTTGGGTATAATTTTAAACCTGCTGTAAATAGTGGAAAATACTGTCAAAAGAAGAAATGCTTCTAATTTATTTCATTATATCAAAGGACTCTCCGTTTAGATTATGCCATTATACCAGCTACCATTATTTGTTTAACAGCTTCAAAATCCCCGAGACTGAGCCAGGAACCTGTGAACAGCAGCCTGATGACAGACAAGCTTTTCTACACAACTGTTAACCTCGTGAACCAGCTTATTTGGCTACATACCGTAATTTGAACTGCGAGCGAACTTCTCCATGTTCTATTTGAATCAGTTCATTATAGCAAGCAATTATGCTGCTATTCTCCATAAATCTCTGAAAAGAAAGCAAAGATAATAATTAAGACATATACAATTACTTTTTAAAAAGTCAAATAACGAAGCTTAACAATTTTTCCTACCCAGGTAACTGTTACATGAGAAGGAGTAGGAAAGATGAAATGAAATAAAACAGTTGTCAAGGTATTTGAAATGCTTGTTTAAATGTATGAGAAACAACCCAGCAGGTAACGTTGTATGCTTAACTCGCTTTACAACAAAGGTGGGAAAAACTCCATGAAGAGTACCGACCAGAAAATAAACACACAACCTTGTTAATTACTGAAATGCCTGTGCTTTATATTTTGCACTCATAAAAGTCTTCTAAAACCCAACACTGGACATATTTAGTGTCTGCCACACTATGAATGATCGCTTTCGAGGGAAGAGGCCCTTCATGTCCTTCCTCATCTCCTGAATGCCTAAACCACCTCTTCCCTACCGTATCTGTATGTCTGTCTGTATCACACACAAACATACAGACATCCATGCATCTAGTTTAAGTGGTTTCTTTTTGGGGAACACCTGTGAATCCCTGACTTTCCCTGTACTGTTGGTCCCCAGGTGGAAGACAGGAAGGGCTAAGGAAAGAGGGGACGCCATGTACACGCAACAGGGAAATACTTTCCCCGCCTTTTTTTCTTTTTTTTTTACAAAGTAAAGTTAAACACGGTCAGGTTCAGGTCGAGCTTCTGGATGGGTGAAGATTACACACCAGCCCATAAGAGCTCTGAGTATTGTTAGCTGATACTTCTTAAGATATGAAAACCCATCTATATAAAATAAGTTTCAAAAATGTTGGGATAAAAAGATTAAGAGTTTTTTTTTTAAGATAGAAACTTTAAAAGTTAACTTTTGTTGTCTATGTTTAATTATAAAAGCAATATACATCAGAAAGTGCATAAATACAGAAAAAGAAAAACACACCCAAATCACCGATAATGTCACAAGTCAGAGATGTCATAAGCTAGAGGTATCATTAATTTTGATTTCCCTTTGCTTTTAAGTCTGTGTGAACATGTGTGTATGCACTTGCATATTCATGCTATATTTTCACATTTCAGTAATAATTTTTTCTGACACTTTTTCTTTAGGTGTCCTAAGAACTTTCATTATAGTAAAAAAACAGCTTTCTGTAGGTGATGGTTTCTAAACACTGGAACACTTTATTTCCACATAATCAGCACTTAAGTGTTTTTCAGACTTAAGTTAATGGAAGATTCCACTGCCTTACCTTTTAGGGATTAACTCATCTCTCTGAAATCATGTGAGTGAATCAAAAGCAGTGGTCTTCAAACCTCAATATGCTAAGAATCACTTGGACATTTGGTTAAAAATGTAGATTTCCAGAAATTTAGGCAGGTTTCTTGAGTACAGGACTTCTCAGGGCATTTAATATGCTCATATGTAGTGTTGTAATGTGCGCTGTGGATTTTCAAGGGTGGGAAGAGGATTATTCACGTGCCACCTATGAAGAGCTTTTGGAACACTAGTGTGCCCTGGAACAGTTTTGAGAAATACTACTTTAGTGGACCCAACATGGAGTTTGGAGTTAAACGCCAAGCATTTCCATTTTGACTTTGTTATGACTATGAGCTCTGGCAAGAGAGTCATTTTGAGCCTGTTTCCTCCTGTTTCCAACCTCTTATCTGCAGATAAAGATTAAGTAAATCACCTAGAATGAAGCTAGACAAATAATAAATCTTAGCTCTCCACTTCCTCCTGCCCGGGAAGCCTATCCAGGGAGAAACTGACTGGCACGCCTAGCACATTCTGTTGCTCATGGTAAGTGCTCCATGAATACCTGTTCATCTGAATAAGCATCATTTCAAACAGAGACAGAAGGACACAAAGGTTGGTATAAAAACAGCTGCAATAGCCTTTTGCTAAGATACTGGTTACTAAAAGGCTCAGAGTGGCCTGAGCATCATGCAGTTGGCCACTTACACATTGCTATAGAGGCTTCAAGGAGAGCTGCTGTGGAATATTTGATGGCACGATTTGTTTCTGGATACCCACTCAGGGACCCGTAGCGTGAAGTGCTGGCCAGTTAGCTAGCAACACAGGGCTGAGTTTCAGCTGATGATTTAATACAATCAAAACAACTCAGAGATGGGAAACAACCTCGCGGAAGGCAGACTCACTGGAATATTTGGAAGCGTGTTTGGGTAGAGAGTTGCCAAAGACAAGATTTTGCCCAAAAAAGGAGACCAGCCTCATCTGATCTTGCATCACAGTAACTTAAGAGGGAAAGCCTTTGTAGGTACAGAGTGCTTCCCTCAGAAAGAGCCCACACTATTTGGAGGCATCTTGATCTAGCTGGCAAAGACCCTTGATCAGACCAAACATGAAAAAAAACCCAGGTGTCCCTCATAGGTCCAGCTTTTCATGCTCCCACCAAGGGTTTTGTTCACCATGGCTGACTGCAGAAAGCAGAACCACATCCAGACAGAGGGAAATGAAACCTAGGACAGCATGGACAGGTTACAAACATGTAAAAAGGAAACAATGGAACTTTTCCTCCTAAATTTACTTAATGGCCTTTGCACCCACAGAGGGCCAGTTGCTTCCCACAAGCTCTTCTGTGAGTAGATGTGCAATCTCAGCCTCCAGACAAGCTGCAATCACACCCAACAACAATCTCTATACCAGCCAGAGGTAGGAGCGCTGAACTAAAGCTGAATTCCAAAAGGACACTGGATAGTACCTACATGGGTCCTCGTTGATGTCGCCTACAGTGTCATTGCTGTTCAGTCATGAGGCCCAGGGGATGAGGAGCATCTATGTCCTCACACTCCAAGAGGTCCTCAGATATGAAGGATAATGTTGGGTTGAAGTGCAATGGGGTGGTCAATATTAAGCAGAAGACTTATGAAACCTGTGAGTAATTTCAGGTTATTTCTCAGGAAATGATCATTGTAAGAAAAGAAGTCTCAGGCACAAGGCTTCTTCACGAATTTTCCTTTTCAACTCTCCATTCCAGAATTCAGAAGCATGTCTTTTGTCCTGTCATCAAGATCCAGCACGTAAAAACAGCTTTCAGAACCAAAAGCCAGCCTTTGAGAGATGCGATGACGGACAAGAGGAAAGTTAGGTGAGTGAAACTAACTAGAAACATTCATTTCTAGGACACATGTGAACTACTATGCTACCTGAATATTTTATAGTGCATTGCTGCTTCCATGATGAAGCAGAAAACCATCAAAGCACAAAACAACTGCTGCACATGGGTAATTTCTGCTTCTCTATCGTCTACAGCAAAGAAGGGATTTGTCTTTAACCTGGAGTAGCAACGCACCATTACTTAAAGCACCTGAAGGAATTTTCATAATTCACAAGGCACAGACACTACCCTATCTTTGAAGAAAAAGGATACATATGGCATCTATTTGAGATTCATGTGACTCTATCCTATCTTTGAAGAAAAAGGATACATATGGCATCTATTTGAGATTCGTGTCAAAAGACCTGGAGATACCAGGTAAGACGAGTTATTCAGTATGTTGGTAAGTCTCCTGGGAGTAATCAGTCTTCATCTTCGAGTTGAATATCAGTGTTAATTCATGTAGTTACTCGAAGAATTTTTCTTTGCTGACATTTATGGTTGAAACCAAAATTCACAGGATGATGTAGCTGTCATGGACCTGTCCCTAGCTCTTCTAGGCCCTGAACATAAAGGCCTGGGTGCTGACTCAGTGGAACCACCTATATATAATCACATACACACATTGAATCTAACTAACTAGACTGATTTAAGTTAGATAACTTTGGGACTACAGAATTTGGACTTGATATAAGATGTGTTTTTATGTCGTTACATATCTGTGGCTAAGATGTATGAAGTTATGAGAGAAAAAGGGAAAAAGCTGAACTAGCAGTTGCTCGTTACCATTCCATGAGAACAATTACTTCCTTTCCTTGCCTTCCCTCACAGTCCTGGGGCTGTTACCCATGGCTGTTTGCCTTTCCCATTATGGGGGTGCTAAGGGTAAGATGCCTGCCCAAGGGAGGTGCCGGTTCATCTTCTACGTACCCTGTTGAAGCCTGCATGCAGAAGAGGGAGAACTGAGGCCTCTTCATGGTCACCCAATCTGCAGCAAAGCAGAAAATGTGGTCACTCAGTGCATACAAACCAGGATTCCTCACACTGAAACACGGAGAGAGAGCAATGAAGCAAGCGTGGCCTTGGCTCTGAGAGTGGCTTGCTGACCAGCATGCGCCCGTGGGGTACACCTGCCTTTAAGGTCCCAGACTCCCACATCCGCCTTCCAGGTGCAGAAAGGACAAAACGGTAAGGAGAACATTCCAGCGGTGTGCCTGGAAGCGTCACCGCAGGGGCACGGGAGTGGCCATCTCCAACTCTGGGCTTCCCTTAGGAGCTGGAGCTAGTGTACGGGAGCAGTCCCAGAAAGGGACGAGGTGGGTGCCGTGCTCATCCCAGAGACTGTTGTCCTCTTTGCTGTTATCCCCAAACCTTCTAAAAGGATAACTCCTACCCCAAGACCCAGCTGGGTCCCACTCTCAACGTGAGGAAAACAACAAGCAGGCTGCGCATCTCATAGCCGAATGGGAGAGAAGTATCAGTGGGAATGCCAATTTAGAAGGGAAGAAGAGAAAACGAAAGTTGATTATTGTCACTCATTTCACAGGAAAGCTTCCTCTAAAGAGCCTACAGTTGGGTCTCAGAAGTTCAGTTTGAGTAGAAGGTGGAGTGTGGCTTGGCTTACCATAAACACATGCTGGGCTGGTACCACTGAGAGAAAGGGTTTCCCTGAGACAATCAGCAAGTAACATGGAGTATACATCTTGGAAAACAGGGAAGACAAATGGAATAAAGGGGACTAGGTGGAGGAGCAGAGAGAAAACAGGAAGAGAAATCCCAGTGTGTGTTTGTGGCATTACCTGTAGCTGACTTCTGCCCTACAGAGAAAAGCTGTCTTTCCTTAACTCCCTTTCTCCTCGAGAACTCAAGGTTCTATCTTTGCTGACTGATAAATCAGGAGTGGCACAAAAAGGTATTAATCATATCCTATTCCATAAGCCGAGTGGCAAAACTCTCACTTGTTATTATTACTCTCGATTAGAGGAAGTATTTTATAAAAAGATGAAAATAATAAATAAGCTACTTCCATAAGCCGAGTGGCAAAACTCTCACTTGTTATCATTACTCTCGATAGAGGAAGTATTTTATAAAAACATAGAAAAAAGGTGAAAATAAATAAGCTATAGTAAACCAAGTCAAGTCAAGGACAAGTAAACATTTTTACTATATGAGTAGGGAAAAAAAGAGTGTGTTCTTCCTGGGCCCATGGAATAAGCCAGGTTTGGGGAAATGCTGTGTGGCTTGGTACACTTCTAGTATCCATGTCCACAGCAATAAGACTCTAAGATCTCAGAGTCTCCAGAAGATAAAATGTACGCCAGAGGGCTGAAGAAAGCTGACTGCACATCTCAGTTCCCCTCACTCCTTCCCCTTGAGATCCCATCTTCTACTAGGATGGCAGGGTGGTGAGAAACCAATGGGGACAGTTTCTTCACTTTCCTTGCCCCACAGCCCATGGCAGGTATTGTGAAGAGACACAGCTCCTAACAAGAGACTCAAGGAGTATCAGGCAAGAAGTCTTTGGTTAGGCCAAGACTTTGAAGCCAGGATTTCCCACTGTACCAATATGGCTTTGGAATGGAGTATTCAAATCTCCCCCAGGTCAGGCTCGCCTGAGGGAAGAGCTAAACTCTCCTGAGCTGTTGGCTTGTCAGCTCCTTTCTTGCAGAATCTATGCCATTTGCCACTGCCACAGTGGGGCCAAGTCCAGTAGATCCTAGGTCCCAAGTAAGGTCTTATTCTTTCCAAAGCTAACGACAGCCTTTAAGTAATGACAACACATTTTGGTACTTGCACAACTTTTTCCCCTCCAGATCTTTCATTCTAAGTGCTGGCCATTTCAGACAATAAACCTAGCAGAGCAGTTTCTCATCCTACAGGCTCTTACCTATAGCCCAACCCCTCTTTTCTGCCTTCCGACATTAGCATACATTCTAGTCCTGCTTCTAGACACACAACTGTCCCAAAACATCTGCACAACACTCACCTTGCAGTGGATTTAGCCCTCTTTGTTCTCATGCTACCATTTGTTAATTCTTAACTGAAAAACAAACATTCTCCCATCTCTTTCAAAGGAAAAAGATAAGCTGAACCATGTTCTCTCTAGATCTCCTCCCTCTCAGACTTTCTATTCATTTCTAGCATATAATGAATAACCATTTTCTCCTGAAGCATATCAATATGTGGCAACAGCAATTAGATATTATAGAAATAATCTAAATATTTTCAGAAACTTGCAAAGCAAAAAAAAAACCCCAAAGCAAGATCTAAGATTGGTGCTGTAGGGCCAAGTCCATGCCCGTTGCTTTCCTAGCTCCAAGGCTGGATTGCAGCAGACAAATGTTTCAGAAGGAACAGGCCTATCTCCAGCAGAGGATGGGAGGTGAGCTTACGCTTGTGAAACCACTGCGAGGATCACCGTGTGCTCAGAGGGATTTGTGGCCCGGATAGACCTGCAACGAGAAGGCGCCACGTCAAACCAGGTGATCTGGGTTTTGTTACATTAAACAAATGTGGAACTTCACACTGAAAATGGCACAAAACCAAATCTTTCTCTAAAGAAAAAGTCTGAAAACACATAGAAGACAACAAAGAAAGATGCCCTTGTGGATTAGAACAATCTCTTCATGTTATTTTAAAAAAAAAAAAATTCCCAGGCAATTATCCAATAGGTCAGATGTGCCAATTTTCCACTTCAAAACCAGCAAATCCCACTTTCTGACTGTAATTCCACTCTGCAAAAAAATTGGCAGTCCTACAATTCTCTAGTTATCAGTTTGTACTTGGGGAGGTAATTGGGTTAGATCTTTTCTTTTAAAACAGATAGTTCAGAAATTTGACTTTATACTAAAAATCAAAGTGCTCATTGCCAGTTGAATATATAAATGCAGGTTAAAGTGTATTAAAAATGATACACAGAGCTACTCCAATTTTTTCAGTTGTACTGCTGTTTGTCCTCAAATCCTTTAAACAAATGTGTGATCATCTAAGACTGAGAAATATTGCAACATAGCAACTGTTGTCATAATATTTGTTGTACGACCACCTGTATATAGTTTATTCCCTAAGCACTTAACAGGATTAAAACATGTAAGGACGTAGAATTTTGAGGTTGATGAGTCTTCTTAGAAAATGTGCTAAGAATGCTGCAGCTTAGATTCTGGATTATTCTGGTCAGGGGTTGTGAAACGGATGAACTTTTCATACTTGCATTTTACTACAAATAGGTGTACTTGTTTTGACCCATCTCCTGGGTCTGGCCTCTGCTTATTTTGAGATCCCTCAGAACAGAACCATCATCACCAAGAACAGAAGGCTCAAGGCTACTCCTGAGTAATTTGTGAAACAATGTGTACTTATTTTTCTTTCTGGTTATAGGGATCTGAGATCATCTCCATTTTACCGTGTTTGCACTACCATCCCTCAAGAGACAACCAGCTCGTATTGCTTCATCCTCTTCAACTCCAGAGTTTCCTGACCTTTCTCAAAAAATATACCTTCCCTATTTCCTATTCCTCGAGACCTTACTCTATGTGAGTAGAAGCTTTGAGAAAATGGCCAGCTGCTGTCTTCCCTGGTGGATAAATGGTATTTGAAGAACAAATATTTTTGGAGACAATGCCTTAACTCACTGTGGGGCAAGAGGAATAAGTCAATAGCCCCCCAATTAGAGTACAGACTACTTCCCGTTCAGCTAGCCCAAAGAACAGGTCCTGGTAAGGTAAAGCTACATTTATTATCTACTTAGTAGAAATTCTCACAATTATTAGCTAGCACCTAATGGAAAGAATGCATGGTGTTTCAGAGGCTTGCTCTAATATTTAAGGAAATATTTAAGTACTTCTCACCTTTGTTCAGCCTCTTCCTCCCCAGTGAGGTGTCAAGAGTACACTTCTGGGCTATATTTAAAAGGGGTGGGCCTTATGCAAGAGGCTCAAACACTGCCATGAACATAACTGGCCTAGAGCACACAGTCACTTAGCTTCTGAGATTGGCTTCGGTTTTCGGGGTTTCTTCCTGCTGTTCATCTATTCTCTCTCATCCCTCTAAAAAAACCTGGACATCTTCCTGGTTGAGAGGACTAAGGGGGAACCTGGGGATAAGCAGGGTAGGGGGCCAAGGAATTATGTTGAGCTAATGTCCAGTCTAACTCAAAAGCTAGGGATCTTGGACCACAGATGACAATAAAGAATGCACATTCGCTAGAGCGTGACCCCACTCGTCTCAGGGAACATGTGCTGGCAGTCAAGCACTCAGGAACTGGGACATCTTCAACATGATCAGTAACGACTGATAAACACACTAGCAGATATGTAACCTGGCTGCTGAACTGCACAGATCCTGCATTGTTTTTCTGTGCAGCTAAGACAGAGGTACACTTATTAGGAAACAAAAATCCATTTATTTATATTTGAGGAAGATTATTATGTTTATCTGCAAAAATGGGCCTTGTCTGATTTAAAGGAGTTGTTCCTATTTTTTCTTTTCATATCTGAAGCTTGTCTTAAATTATTTCATGTATGTACTCAAAATTGTGGTATTTCTACCATGAAATAATGTCAGTCAGTCAAGACCAAGTAAAAGTATACATACATAGTTAAAGGACCCCTTTAATCTATTTAATCTATTCATTTCTTGTCAGGGTACTAAAGTTTCTAAGAAGCTATTTCCTTACCTTTCACTTCCTATTTTCGAGAAAATTCCAGCTCCATATGTAATTGGAATCTGTCCTGGTCTAGCATTTAATTAGTGACCTCTTCCTGTCTAGCTTCAAAGCATTCTACTTCTGCTAAATGGCTCAGTTCATCCAAAGCTAACTCTTAGGACTGCATTTATTTATGAACAAACATGCATTTTCTCCTGAGAGCAGCAGCATTTCTGTAAACAAGTGGGGGGTTTGGGTCCCTGAAAGATTTTCTGCTGTTGCAAAGTGGCCGCTTTTGCTCCATGAATGCTGTAGGATCCACCCATCTGTTAGGCATGGAAAAATGTATATTTCACACATTTCTGATGCTCATTTTGGGACAGAATAATTAAAATATCTGGTTTACATCCAAAGCATATCTGCGTAATAAGAACTGTGTGAATTTTAATGTTCTGTGAAATATGAGCCATACTCGGAGGGGAAAAAAAATAAAACCTGAAGTTTTCAGCGGCACCCAGCTCACACCTCTAAATTCATCGGAACTCAAATGCAGAAAAACAGAAAAGGTGAGATAAATCCATAGGAAGAGCAATAGCTTACATCACAAATGAAATATTTGTGGTGGAACTAGAGACCTCTATAAATGAATTTTATAGAGACCACTATAAATGAATTTTATTTGATTTTAAGCTGTTAAGTAGACATTTACTAAAAATATTAAGAAAGTTACCTGCACACTGCTTCTGCATCAAAATTTCGAGTTTGTCTGTGATCAATTACAATAATTTCATGATGTTTATCTAGAAAGCATTCAAGGGCTGACTCCGGAGTTCGAGCGATATTGCATCTATAACCAGCTCTGTCACAAGCCCACCAGAATCCATCACTCTGATTATCTTCCTTTGCAAAGATCAGCAAAACCTGGAACACACAGAAAAGAGCATCTTCACAGAGATCATCATCCTTAGAGATTGTGTTAAAAACAGGCCTACCGTACACTGGTTAGAAACACATCCTCTGGGGGAAAGTTATCTGGGTTCAAATCCCAGCTCCTCCAATTCATTTCAGTGTGTTTTGAACAAGGTATTTCCTCTCTTTGGCCTATGGTTTCGCCACTGTCAGATGTGATAAGAGCAGTGCCACTTTAAGCTAGTTGTGAGAATTGAACGAGTACAGAATAGATGCTCAATTACTCCAGTGATAGTTATTTTTAATTTCTGAATTGGCATTTTACATAAGATTAAGCAGTGAAATTATTAACAGAATAATTAACGCAGGTTAGACTGTGGCTCACATATATACCTATTTGGTTCCAGGGCAGGTGGTGTTTGCCTTGGAGGCCACCTCTCTGAACTTAGCACTTATACTCATATAAAGATACAGGAAAGGAATTCAAAACAACTTCAAAAACTAATTCTAACACCCAAACTCTGCCGGAATCTGAAATGAATAATCATGAAATGTGAAGCCAATGGAGCCAAATTGAGGAAAACGTGCCTCTTTTTGCCTCACTGAAGAGCACAGCCCCACCACTGGAAAGAAGATAGCAGTAATTCAGCCTCATCATCCCCTAGGCTCCAGGGCCCAGATTCTCTGGCAGCCAGAAAGTCGGAGATGGCCTTATCACCATCTGAACTTGCTCATTTCTTGTTTATGGTCTATCTTCCCCACTAGAATTGAGCGTCAGGATGGCAGGGACCTGCCTGTCACCTTCCCTGTTGAAATCCCATGCCCAGCACTGGGCTGGAACGTACCAGTTGTTCAGTAAATATTAGATCAATGAAAGGATGGCTACTTGTAGGGGTTTCTGCAAAATGCAAGAGGGCTTTATTTTTATGAGGAATAAGACTATATCACAACAATAAGTCCAATAACATATAGTAATCTCAAGATATTGATATGGCATTTAGTATTTTTCAGCATCCACTTCTGGCTTGAATAATTAGGAACAGAAGGGTAGTTTCTCAACATGAAGTGCTTTAAGCCAATAGCCCATATCATTCTTCATGATGATATACCAAATATGTGTTATTTAAAATCAGAAACAAGACAAACTGTCAACCATATCTTAAAAATGTTTTGTTAATTGAAAATTGGCAGTACATAAAAAAATGGAAAATAGTATAATGAACTTTTGTACCCATCACCTAGCTTCAGCAATAACTACTCCTGGCCAATCAATCTGGTTTCATCTTTATCTATCCATATCCACTTTCCCAATTCTTGTATTACTTTGCAAATACCACGTATCTATCATTTCATCCATATGCATCTGCTAAAGACAAAGACTCTCAAAAAAAAATACCATTTCATACCTAAACTTCTCCAATAATTCTTTATAATTAAACATTTGAATGTATCATAAATGTCATTTGTTTTACACTGTTTGCATCATTTCCTGTTTTCTCAAAGCCATGTTTCCAGAAAAATAATACTTTTCAGCATGATTGTGACATTTCATTTTTAGCATGTAGCTTGAAATCACAAGCCAGTAACACATGTGGCAGCCACACTTATTAAGGGCTCTTTCTGCACAAAGGCCAGTCACACCTCAGTCCAGGATGTTCCTAAAAATCTTCAGCCACAGAACTACCTCTAAGAGGATATGGGAGGTGACTCTTCCCAAAGAAATGAAGGGCACAGATTTGCAGATTTTGATAGTGAAAAGAAAGCCTTCAAACATAACTATTAACAAAGGAGCTACGATGAAAAAAATCAGGTAGAATAAATTGGTTTGCGCAAAAATTCAACAGCCCTTTACTTGGTGTAGCCAAGGGTTATGCCAAGTGGTAGTAACATGAGAAACTCAACGTGTAGAGCCTAAAGTTCAGAAAAAGTGTCAGAACTTCTCGTCTCTCCTCTGCCTGGCTGAATTATGGACTGCTAAACAAGAATCTCAACAATTTATACTTTCTTTATACAATTATGCCTCAGTATTTGACTAATACAATAAGAATACAACTATATTCTCATGTTGGACATTGCTACAGATATTAATCTCATATGTCTTACATGTCCTTAAGAGACTGGAGTGTTCCACTTTTGGAAAAATAATGTCATTATTTAGCAAATATTTCCTGAGCACCCACTATGTGCCAGACACTTTAATTGCTTAGAGTACACTGATGAACAAATACAGACCCTTGCATAGTAGTAGTGGAAGGACAAACAAACTATGCACGTAATAAATAAGCAAGTGATAATGACTATTGAAAGTGATAAGTGCTATGTAAAAACCATAGGGCAAGGTAAGGGGGACAGGGAGTGGCTGCTGGTAGCAGTATTAAGCAGGGTGGTTAAGGTAGGTTTCACCGAGAAAATGACATACGAGCAAATGCCTGAAAGAAAAGTCGAGTTTACACCCGAAGGAAAGCATTTCAAGCAGAGGGAACAGTTCCACTGACCCATACGGTGAAACACATGCTTGCTGTTTTCAAGGAACTGCAAGGAAGCAAATGTGACAGAGGGGAGGGTGAGAGGGTGAGAGAGAAATCAAGTTCACAGCAGAAGGCTAGATCGTGGTACGTCCTTGTAGGTCATTCTAGGAACTTAAACTGGATTTCACATGAAAACTTACAAACTGTTGAAAGTGGAGAATGGTATTCATCATACCTTGTTATTTATGTATTTCTGATCCTGGAGTCCTGCCCTTCTGAGGGCTAGCCAATTCCTAGACACAGTGAATACTTGGCAAGAAATGCACTTTTCATATATGCAAACCAATCCAGAGCCCATACCTCTACCACCTTTTTTTTCTATTTTATGCTGCATTTATATTTATTTTGCTTCTTGTTTCATATTTTTAGTGAGACTTTTTTAATTTTTCAATTATAGTTGATAATATTATTTTACATTAGTTTCAGGTGTACAGCATAGTGGTCAGACATTTACAGAATTTATAAAGCGATCTGCTCCAACACTCTGGACCACTATCCACCTGCCCTATCACTCCAGGGCCAGGTACACAGACCACCTCTATGCCCCAGGCTACTGAAATGACTGGAACTAGTCAAACCTACTTACCCTGTCTCACCCATTCCTCCCCCACAGAAACTGTGATAAAGGCTCTTGCCCACGTTTTCCCTGTCCTCTGTCTCACTGCCCGCCCTGCGGCTTCCCCAGGTAGTCCTGCACAGCCTGGCATGCCGTCACCTCTTGGGAACTGTGAGTAACCAACTCTCTTTTCAGTGACAGTCACCTTCTGATTTATTGTCCTCACCCTACGTGAATAATAATAAAATCTACAGTTAAAACAGGAGTATCTGTAAAGTGCTCACTAGAGAATTTCTTGGGGTAGTATTTAAAATTCTTTCCACTTACAAAAAAATTCAGTAAGACTTTTGCAATAATTCAACTCCTAAGCCAAGTGAACATCTATGGGAAATAAAAAATATATATACATTTTAGAGTAAAGCACTATAATCGCCTTTTCTGAAGCCCTCTTACCTCTGGAGAATTCTACCTTTTCTAGGAAAGTGGTCGACCCGAGTGTCCAGAGTTGGACTCTGTCCCTATCTCCTATGCCACAGCTGGGCTATGATATTCTGTTTCCAGGAATTTGGAATCTGAACAGAGAGGCACAGAGGCTGGTAATTGGGACCCAGGGCTCATTAATAGCAGAAATACTGAAGGAAGAACCTTACTCTCCTGTTATCTAAGTACTCAGAAATGGCTCACTGCCAGCCTTTCTAAGCCATGGTTTTTCAACTCTTCCTTGGATTCTGCTAAGAAAACAAAAACAAAAACTGCACCTTCTTATATATTTCTTATTCATTTACTTACTTTTTGTGTAAGGCAGCTGTTACTAAAACCAAAACAAAATAAACAAATAAACAAAAACAATCTTAAGCAATACAGTCCCTCTTCAGGTTTAACATTCTGTTTCAATATTTAATTTCCTGTTAGATGTGGCCATTTGTAAATATTTGTGGACCACTTGAGGCAAATCTCATAAAATGATTTTGTGAAATATATTTTGAAAGTCATTAATGAAGGCATTAAACAACTTGATTTGTAAAGAGTGAAAAAGTAAACTCTTTAGTTGCTCTAAATAATAAGCAGAACATTCATTCAAAGAATATTTTTAGAAGACTATCATGCCAGATGTTAAAAACTAGGAGCAAAAAGCTGATTGAGACTGACATAGTCGAGTCTCTGCCCCTAAGACCTGCACAGGGGAGAGAGAGACAAGTATAATAAATGCACTAGTGAGTGGTGATCCAGACAGAGCGTGGACACGGCCTCCAGGACAAGAATCTAAGCCTGAGAAAATGGGCAGAAGGAAGCAGTTTTGTTCTGTCAACCTCACTATACTGTTGTAAACACAGCAAACGAACTGATCTGAGGTGAAATCTGGGATAAGGAAGAAACGTCTTCTAGTGGGGACAGATCTTGGCTACCTTACATTCTCTCCGGAACCAGAGCACAAACTATAGGCAGTCCTCATTTTGTGTGGTAGTGCCAGGCCATAAAAGTGACCATGCAAAGCAATTTTAATAAATTATGATAAAAGCGATTGCTCCATGACCTTTAGAAATTTTTGTCAAAATAAAAGCTTTCTTATTGTTGGTTATAAATGTATAGGAAAATGAAAAATATAAACTGGCATTTATTCAGTACATTGCAATTTAAAACATTAGAAAAGGTAAGAATTAAAATGTTTTCTTTTTAAAAACTTAAGACTAGTTTGAACAGTGTTTACCTTCTTCTAGTTGTATAAATTATGATACAGAGTGAGCATTTTTTCTATGCCTTGGTGAATTATAAATTCTTAAGTTTGGATCAGCTTCCGACATTTTATCCTCTGTACTTTCAATGTCATAAAATATCCCCGGAGTTCCTTTAATGAATGTTCAGTTTTTGCTGGCATCACTTCCTCTGTGACATTTCACCCTTTTCATGACAATCGCTTTCTAAATTTA